GTATATGCGACAGTGTACTGCTAGTGTACATGTTTTTCGGTGTATGTGTAACTACACCCCATGTGGTCTAGTGGTTAGGATTCGTGGTTTTCACCCACGCGGCCCGGGTTCGATTCCCGGCATGGGAATGTCTTTTTACCATTTTAACAGCAAATAGTTTTTATTGTTTGAGTTTGAGTTTTTTCAGAAACTATCATTGTGCAACAACAACAACCAACAGTTGTGGTCGCAGCTCCAGTAATAAGACCTCCACCAACTACTGTCGTGGTTGCAGCGCCAGCTCCACAACCTACTGTTGTGATCGCACCTCCTCCTCGTCCTGCTCCGACTATTGTTATAGCTCCAAGACCTAGAGCTCCTTTAGTCGAGGTTGTTATTCCAAGAAATAGACACCATCATCATCGTCATTGATCTGTCTTGTTTTTGAAATTACACAGATAAGCATATCTCCATTGATAAAGAATGAATGAAAGGAAAACCGTTATTGACTATTTACAAATTTGTACAAAAAAATAAAACTTTGAATAAAATGAGATCGAAAAAAAAAAGAAAATAGAAAATGTTCTCATTTGTTGGCCAAACGCAATCTTTTCAGCAATTCTCGTTCTCCACTGTTTTCAGGTTGTTCCAAATCAAATGATACTAATTGGGATTCTGAACACAAGAGGTAAATCTAATTTTAATGAAAATCACAACCTCTCTCTCCATAAACAGGAGAAACAAGTAAATACTGAAGTACTTGAGGATTCTTTGTGAATGTACATGGAGCTCGCTTCCATAAGAATATTTTATGTAATTGTTCGGCAACTTGACTGTACGCCTTAAGAAGATGACGCATCATTATGTTCACGATATCAATTCACAAACCAAGAAGTTTATATGACCATTCGGGAGTGTTCGTGTGGAATTGTGAAACATCATATATAAATCTTTGAGAAGTAATACAAAGAATGGAACCACAATCTGAGACATATGATGTATAAATGAAAAGTTCTATGATTAGGAAACCTTCTGTTCTGGCCTACGGGCCGAATCTGCTCTCCAGACAGCAGCTTTCATGGTTGCTCGATAAGACAGGAAATTTCCAGAAGGATCAAGTTGATGTTGGAGTATATCAAGTTTAGCTTTATCAACTCTGTTCCACTGAAAACTTCAATAAATAATTGAAAATGAGTAGAAGCCTTACAGTTCTTTTGAGTCTCGCTATAGGTGGTAGGGAGAGTCCCGCAACAATTGCCATAAGACTATTGAAGTTTCCCATTTCACAGCATTCTCGGGCGACATCAATCAAGAACTCCAACATTTGTACTCGGTTCTTACGTTTTGATTGTCGTAAAACCTTAAAAAGTGCAATTGATTAAAGAATATGAAAAAGGATAACTACTTCAGTTGCTGAAAAAGAGGATAATCGATTGAACCACTCAACATAAAAGGAAATAGTATTGAGGGTGTTGGAAGACGATTTATTCCTTCCAAGCTGTGATATATCACATGTATCTAATGAGTTAACAATTTCATCAACACCAACCATACTGAAACGTTCCTGTAAAACAGTTTCACATTATTTATCCTTTATTGTGACAACATACCAATTCAATATGTGTTAACTGTTGTGCTATGATCTTAGGATCAGGACAGAAGGCAGCTAACCCAACCTGCAAAAAACATTTTAAACTTTTCTTTTTTTTCATTAATAACGGTTTTAAAACGAAACAAAAACATACCAAAGCATCATGCTGTTGAGGAATTTGTGGGCTTTCAGCTAAAGTTTTATGAAGACTAGCAACAGCTTTCTCATAACGATCCAATTTGTTCAACTTAACATGGAATCATACATAATGGTCAATTTAACTCAAATCTTACAGCATTTCGAAGGTTTGTCTGGATTTCCTGAGCTTTCAATTTATTGTTTTGATCAACACTACACATGCCCAGTAATTCATTTAATCTGTAAATATAGGGAAATGAATAAAAAGAATGAACAATGAACAATGAATGCATTTCAACCGATCATCGTGTTTGCACAATCGAAATGAATTCGGATGCTTGCCAGACGCATGAGCATCAGATACGATCAATCGATATTCTAATTAATCACCTTGTTCTCATTTCATCAGATCGAAAATCATATGGTATAGAGGTTGCCCATTCAGAACATAATCGTAGAATGTGTGCAAATAATCGAGTTCGATGTTCCTTGGAGAAGTTACATGAATCCGAATTCATGGAAAACATGGAATTCTAAAATAATCATGATGAATTCAATCTTTTATATTGACAATTGAGCCAAATATCATTTTTTCTGTCAAATTTATTCATTAGCATCTCATCCATAAATTATAATTTAAGATTTATAGATAAAACTCAATTGATTGTCAGAGATTTCTGACATTTGATGTTTCTTGTACTTGTCTTAGCTTAGTCTCTAGAGAATCGAGAAATTGCAGGCCGCGTGGGAAACACTAACTCTCACTATTCTATTTTAAAGTACATAAAAAGGAAAAAAACAAATGAAGTTGAAGATAAGTATGAATAATATATACCTGAACTATACGTTGCATCGTTTCTTCAGGGCTGATTACTGTTCGGATATTCACTAGTACAGTAAAGATATATCCAGAATCGGGTGAAAAATCTCTTGTTGGAGTCAATCGCTTTAATAATGCTTCTAAACTGCCAGATAGAACTTCACCATCTTGACCAATTATAATATCCTGAGAAAAACAATTATAAGGTTTTGAGAAAAGAACTCAGTCACTCACATTACTATGGAATAGGTCACTCTTCTTATGATCCATACTCAATTCGGCTAATTGTGTGGATAGATTCATGGCTGGAGCAGCCAACATGTTCTGTAACGTATAACGCATTTAGTTTTTGAAGTAAAACATTTGTGAATTAGTGAGAAAGGCATAGAACTGATAAGAATGTTTAAGAGAGAATTTATTTGATTAATAAAAAGGAGAGAAGGAATGAGATGTCTTATTTTGGTTGAAGGAGGAGCTTTTCAAACTAGAGTAATAAGAAGCAAGTGAAGGAGGTTGGGCATATTACGCTTTCAGATGAAGCCGGAAGGCATGTTGTTGGCATTATAAGCATAATTTGAAGGACAAAAGAGAAAATGTGTCATTTGGTGACAAACAAATTATTATATAAAAGAAAATGTCTCTTTTCAACTTTAAAAAAAAAGAAAAGAAGATGATAAGATGGCAAACTATTCAACATCTTCCAAGAGACACATCATCTGATCGTTTAATCAGATTTGAAGATTAGTTAAAAGATAAAAGCATTCAGGAGAGTAAGAAGGTGATTTTGGTAAACGCCAGCCTATCACAACAGGATTGTAGAAGTGACAGTCATTTTCATCGTTTTTTTCCCAACAAACAACTAAAAGCATGTGATTGTTGGTGTGAGTAAAAAAATGTGAGAAAGTTGAGTTGAATGGACAGTGGAGAGATACAGAGAGAGGTACTGCACAAATGAAATAAAGAGAGAGAGAGAGAGAGAGAGAGAGAGAAAGAACGAGTAAGAGGAGAAGAGAAGTGGGATTAAACCAAGCCAACTTGTGCGCGGATGAATCATTGCCTATGAAAGGAAATGCCCTTTTGACTATTACTTATTGATCAAAATATTTTTGAGAATTCTTGAGAAAAAAAAAATGAATGATAGAAAGCCTAATGGATAGGCATTGCGTGAGCAGTTGGGACGAACTGTGCTTAGGGCAGAGCGTTGATTTGTTTGTTTAATGTCCATATTTGATCATTTGGTTAGCATAAATCATCATATTAAATATGAAAAAACGTGTTAAAGGCTTTTTGTGTACCTCTCCTCCTCTCTCTCCATGTATGTGCTAACAGCTCTCAGAAACTTTCAATCACTTAATTAGCAGAATGAGAAAGTGAGAGAGGGAAGGAGAAAGAGAGTTGGAAAACAATTTTTTTTCTTAAAGAAGAGGAATAGATAAGTGAAAAGCATTTTTTATGTCCAAATACACATTTGTCATTTTTGCTTCTCAGACACCGACCGCCTGGTCATAGCTCAGAAAAAAAAGAAAAAAACTGAATGAAAAGGAAGATGGGTGGAGAAAGGAAACGATGGCTTCCAAGCCCAAATTGCTTTTTTTGGTCGTTTTTCTGATGGATTAGATAGCCATCTGGCTTTTCTCTTTTACACAGGTTGAATTGCTAATGGCAACATTCGGTTTTTTTAAACAAAAAAAATGGAGAAGACGAGTAGGAGGAATATGAAGGCGACAAGAAACTTGAAGAAGTTTTTGGAGAAAATGAAAGAATGAAAAAAAGATTTTGGAAAAGGAAAAAGTCAAATGAAATGTAATAAGAGCTATATGTTCTCACAAATATTGTATATAACATGCACAGGAGTTTATTATCAATAGAATATTCTAATAAAATATAAAAAAAAACGAGAAAGAGAAGAAGGTCAAGCCTTTCTTATTGAGTATTGTGAATGACATAAATCGATAAACCATTGTTGACTCATTTGCATAACATTTTTTTACAAATAGAGACAAGAAATTAAAAGGGAATATAGAGAGAACACGAGAAAGAGAGAAAGAGGAGTTCTCTTTGGCAATAGCTTACAGTTGCTATGCTAGATAAATGAAGGGAGAGGATGATTCCATGGGCGTACATAGAAACATCAGAAATCACGTTAAGAGGAAGTATGAAACACTTTCATTTTCGTCTTCTTCACTCTCTATATCTTCGTTTCTCAGGATATTCCTCAAAAGGAATATTCCCGCTCGAATGAATTTTAATGGGAAAAAAAGGAAATCTTTAAGATTCTTCAGGTAGTTGTCGCTTCAATGCTCTCTCTCAAACATATTTCTCGTAGAGAAACATTCTTTTGTTTACAAAGAGCAACAACAATAAAAATGAAGTTTTTCGACTCATTTTCGAATACAGAATATGCAAATGAAGCCGTGTTGGCATGCATTTCAATTTTGTTCGAAGGCGTTGAGCGGTTGATCACCAGCCCACAAGTGTGTAGTGATTGGAAGAAATAAGAAATAGGTTAGTTTCCAATTGAATAAACTTAATAAGCAAATTAAGAGAATATTTAAATGAAGACAGGTGATTATATAGTTCGAGATAGAGAGAAAGGAAGAGTTGTACGAAGAAAAATAAGAAATGAACAGATGTAAAAGGTAAGGAAGATGTGTGCAGGTCAGATGGTTGGTTAATAACCAGGAAACATCATGTAGAGAAGGAGCAAACAGATGGCAAGTAAGGTGCGAAAAATCAACAAATATTCCATTTTTTATAAACAAAATTTGTGCAGAAATGTTTAATTATGAGAATGGGCTCTAAAAGTTGGGAAAGAAATGTCAGAAATTGCAATGAAAACAATATGGAAGCCAGATGTATGTGAGTATGTGTGTGTGTGTGGCGTGAGTGTATGTATGTCTATCTGGATGAGCATGAAGATCAAAGAAAATGTTAATTGAAGGAGAAAGAAACTTCTTTCCATCATTACAGGAGAGACAAAAGCTTCAAATGAAACAGCTGTGGCTGCCTATTCCTGTGATAGGACCGGACGTAAAGAGAGTGGAGGCGCGAAATAAAAAAAGAAAATTTTTTTTGTCATTGAAATGCATGTGGTCTAATAAGACAAAAAGCTCATAAATAGTGTGTTGAGAAAAACGTAAAGTTTTGAAGTTTTAGCTTATTTTCTTATCAATGCTGTAACCTTTTATGGTGTGGATAGAGACACATGTTAGTATCTATTTAAATATTTCCGTAAAAGGGAGAAAGTTACAGAGTGAGAGGTCAAGATGGAAGCTTTTCAAGAGACTTTCGGTAAGAAGAAGAGGAGGAGTAGGAGGCAAATGATTCTTAGGTATGTTTGAAAAGAAGACGACGAAGAAGAAGAAGATAAATCTCTTATCCAAATAAGGTAGAAATTTTCTTTTGAGATTGTTATTCTCTTATTATCTGCAGATCATTTCTTAATGAGTTTTGCTAACATACAGTTGCAAACAAAGAGCTGAAGCTTCGCAAGTAATTTAAGAGTAAAAGAAATTTGACTTATTTAAGCATAAAATGAACTGACTTAAATGGATCTGTCACATTTTCTTCTTCACAAATAATTCCAAACGACATTTCTTTAGTTTTAGTACGAAAATTTCTCTTCAAATAATCCATTTGGGCAAGATGCACACACAAAAAATTTCAACAAAAATGTCAATTGATAGCTAGCTAGAATAAACTGGCCATGTATGGCTATAAACTGGATTTTGAGCAAAAACGACAGTTTTGAGCTTCAACATGAAAATTAGGCGAAGGAAGTACTTGGCTGTGATTGAAGCGGAAGATCGCTGGACGCTCACACAAATTGGCAATTCTTCTATATTTAAGAAATTTCTTTTTTTTTCTTTTTCAGTTGAAAGAAAAGTTGGTAAGGAATAAGATGGTGGTGGTGGTTGATCAAATAATATGAGAATGAAGGACACTAGATTGACATTATCATTGAAAAACACAAAAATGAAGAGAAAAGTCAAAGACAATGAATTGTGATTGATTGAATTTCATTAAATGACAACAAGTCTCATTTGATCTTACATCCTACTAAGAGAAAATTAAAAATAATAATGAATTTTCTGTAAGAAAACATGAAGAATTGATTGTCAGCAAGCGGTGAACGGTAAAGGCATAATGAGGATATGGGGTCAGCACAAGGGCATTCCGATCCTTGCATATGTGTATGTGAATGAGAAAAACAAAACAAAAAAAGAAATAGCAGAATATGAAGAAAATAAGGCAACGAGACGACAGATCAACGCAGCAACAGCAAGCAAGTAGAGGGTAGTACTATAAGAGATAGGCAACTGATCATAGTTGAAAAAACTGGAAAAAATAGTTCGTCTCGTCTCCCACACTTTGGCGATACTTTGTGACCAAGGTCTCTATTTTCTTGCATTCAATCATCTTTTTTAACTAAACTTTCGCGCAGACAGAGACAGACAGCAGAAGACGTAGATAGAAGATGATGAAGAAGAAAAATAGCAAAAAAACATAGGTTAATGAATGAATAATTTGATGAAGGATAGCAGATTGTTATCAAAGCGAACAGATAAAGAAAACAACAAAAAGTGAAAATATTGTTTGCTTTATTTTCGATTCACAAAAAGGCAAATTGCAATGAAACAAAAAGTGTATGTGTGTGGATGTGTGTGCGTGACTAAGACACATAGAGGGAGGAGCGGGAGACGCGAGAGAATGATAGAGGGTGAATGAAAGACATGAATGAAACCAACCATCTTTAGCGTTTTTGCGTTACAAAAATGACCCTCACGTAAAATTCACGTGAGGTTTACAATAGTACGTGGAAAAATCAATCAATATTCTAATGCACTGACCTTACTGTGGTAATTTTCGGATATTTGATTATTAATGACTGGAATTGTCACTAACACTGGCTGACTGCTAGAATTCTGCAAAACGGACAAACGATTAGAATATGAAAGGAATCAAAAAAAAAAAAAAAAAAAAAAAAAAAAAAAAAAAA